TGATGCTGCTGATAGTGATGATGATGCTGCTGCTGCCGATAGTGCCGACGGTTAGGGTGTTGGTGATGACGGCGATGTTGATGCCGACGATGGTAAGGCTGCTGCTGCTGGCGACGACGACGACACGTTGATGCTGCTGATGATGGAACTGATGATGCTGACGATGATGCTGATGAGGATGATGGTGATGCTGCTGAGGACGATGTGATGAGGAGGAGGATGAGGACGACGATGATGCTGATGAGGATGCGGATGAGGGGTATAATGCTGATGCTGATGCTGATGCTGATGCTGATGCGGATGATGATGACGATAAGGATGATGATGATGATGATGATGATGATGATGCTGATGGTGATGATGATGATGATGATGATGATGATGATGGTGCTGATGCTGACGATGATGCTGATGATGCTGCTGCTGATGACGATGATGCTGATGATGATCTTGATGCTAGTGCTGCTGATGATGCTGCTGATTACGACGATGCTTATGGTGATGCTGACGATGATGCTGAAGATGATGCTGGTAATGCTGCTGATGATGATGCTGATGCTGATGCCGATTACGATGCCGACGATTGCGAGGATGATGGTGACTACGACGGGGATGATGGCGATGCTAATGATGCTGCTGCTGATGCTGATAACGATGACTATGCTGATGCTGATGATGATGAGTATGATGACGATGATGGCAATGATGATGGTGATGGTTATGATGATGATGCTGATGATGATGATGATGATGATGATGAGGATGAGGATGAGGAGGAGGATGATGATGATGATGATGATGATGATGATGATGATGCTTATGATGCTGCTGGTGAGTATGATGATTCCGATGGTAATGGTGATGATGATGATGATGATGATGATGATGATGATGATGATAATGATAATGATGATGATGCTGATGATGATGATGATGATGATGATGATGATGCTGATGCTGATGATGAGGATTATGACGATGATGTTGCTGATGCCGATGATGCTGATGATGATGACGATGATGATGCTGATGATGATGACGATGATTAGGAGGCTGACGACG